TGCTCCAACAATTCCAAAAATAAATGGACTTGTTCGTTTTGTAATTTCAATTTTTTCTACTACATTAATAGTCATATGTGGATTTTTACTATTAATTTCTTTAAGTATTTTATTTCTAGTATGTTCAAATAATTTTATTTCATGTTCAAATTTTCTTTTTTTACTATTATATATATTCTTATAATATTTTTGATTCTTTACTAATAATAAATTGGTAATTTTTGTTTGAATAGTATTTATAATTGGCAATTTAAAATTACTAATAATTTCATCTAATTCTATTTTATTTAATTTATCCATTTTTCTTTTATTCAAAATATTAAACTCAAGTTCATTTAAAAAATATCCATATAATTTAAATCTATCATAAATAGGTTGAATATCATCAAATCTAGAATTAAAAGAAAACTCTTGATTCAATTTATTACTAATTACATCTTCATTTTTTTTAGAAGTTTTTTCACAAGTAATATATTCATTATTAAGTTTGTAAATATAAATTTTTGGATTATCTGAATAAATTATATGAAAAAAAACTATATGTAATTTATTATTTTCAATAATTTCTGTTAATGGTGAATCAGGTATATAAAATTTCCTCAGATACAAATGTAAATCCAGACATTTTAATTTAAATTTAAAAATTAAAAAAAATATAAATATTTATATATGTAAATTATTATTAATTATTATCTCTATTTATACGAATAATGTTTCTTAGGATTATTAAAAGTAATCACCTGTTTACTTACATGATCACAACTAATTCTAATATCAGAATAATTTAAAGAAAAATTAGTAATATCAATATTTTCAAATGTTATACTATTATTACCATTAATATTCTTAATAGATTTATCATTTAATTTAATCAATAAATCATATAAATCTTTATGTATAATTAAATAAATTTTACCATTACAATATTTAGCTTCTACAAATTATAAATATATTAATAAATAATTTTTTAATTAATATTATCAATAATTAATTTTTTAAACTTACCAATCCATATTTTATGAATTAAAATAATTAAATTAGTATATATTTAAATTAATAATTTATTAAAAAAACTCTATTACCTTTATTTATAGTATTTGTTGTATATCTTCCATGGTTACAAAAATACCAACATAATTACTATTATTATTATGATGTATATTATATGAATCATACAATTTGTAAATTTCATTAACAGTTACAGGATGATTTTTAGTATCTATATGATATTTTAATTGCATTACAAACTGTACATTTTCAAATGTACCATCAATATCAATTCCTCTATCAGGTGTTTGTCTAATAGTTCCATCACCTTCAATATCTTTTAAAAATTGTACCATTTGCAATTCAAATTTATGACCACGTACTTTAGGTATTAACTAAAAATAAAATAATAATAAATAATAATTTCATTATAACATCAATTCAATATAATATCAAGTGATAAATTATATCAAATATCATATATTTCATTATAGATATTCTCAAGTGATAAATATTTATAACAGCGTAAATATATATGATAAATGCTAAAAATTTTTATTTAGTGAAAACTCACTTTGTTTAAAACATTAAAATCAAAATTTTTTTCAATAAAATCATTTATTTTTTCAACACTCAAATAAGAAGTATCCTTTTTTTGAATCTTCATATTATTCTTGTAAAAAAATACATACTATTCCAACTACATTTATAAAAAAAATTATATTTCTAATATTAATAATAAATTAATAAATTTATTTAAATTCAATTCTAATATTAATAATTTAATTAATCAAGATCAGTAATTTCAACTTTATTTTTTTTAATTTCAATATTATTTTCAATATCATTTTCATTATTTCTTAATCGTTTTCCATTTGGCATCTGTGCTACAATTTGTTCTAAAAGTTCTTTTTGTTGTTTAAGCTCTTCTTTTAAAACTTGATTTTCTGTTTCTATTTTAACAAATCTTTGTTTTTCTTTATATTTAATTCTTGCTTTTCCAAAATTTCTAACATCATTTTTATAATCATTACATTTTTTTTTACACTATCAAAATAAGATTTATTTGAATTATATTCTTCAGATCCTTCTAAAGGAAATTCATCTTTATAAACATCAATAAGATTTTTACTATATTCATTTAATAAATTCAAAAAATTTTCTTGATCATTATCATTAAATCTCAAAAAAGCATTTTTCTTATATTTATTTACTTGAATATATACAAGTAAATAATCAGGTTTATTATTACTAGTTTCTTGTTTTTCATCAGTTGTATTAGACATTTTTAATTTTTTTTTTAATTAAATTTTAAATAATTATTTGTTCTTTTATTAAAAATAAATATTAATAATAAATATAAAATAGAAAAT